ATGGTCGGGTTAACATGAGAGAAGTCTATGAAATTGCTGGGAAAAATTAGAAACAAGGAGGTAGTGGTGATGGTTGTTCTGGGGCCACACGCAATTTTGTCTCTAATAGGTTAGCTAAGGAGCTCGAGTTACCTATCGCTCAGAACAAAGTATTTGGAGTAGTGGTAGCTGTGGGAGAAATTAGAGAAGGAAGAGAAAAGTGTGCGGGAGGGATTCTGGAAGTACAAGGGATCGTGATTATGGAAGATTTCCTAACGTTTGATCTAAGAGAGAGTACATATGTGGCTATGGGATACTCTTGACTAGCCACCTTGGGAAACATAAGGATCAATTGAGAATTAAGGACATTGAGCTGGAAGATTGGAGACCAATGGGTCACTGTCAAAGGGAATCCAACTTTAAGAAAAAGGCAAGTGTCTTTAAACTCCATGGAGAGAATAGTAAAAAAAACAAGGGGAGATTTAGTTATTGGAGCTGACTACACTCTTCGAGAGGGAAGGTAATCACAAAAGAGGAGTTTATGAAGCTGAGGTTAAGGCAGTGATCGAGAAATACAAGAAGGTGTTCGAGATGCCAAGAGGTTTACCAGCTGCAAGGAATAGGGAACATGCTATAACTCTTCAGGAAGGTACCACACTTATAAATTGTCGCCCATACCGGTACTCCTTCTTACAGAAGAATGAGATAGAGAGACTTTTAAATGAGATGTTGGAAGCACGGGTCATGCAGCCAAGTATCAACCTTTACTTCTGTCCAATGATGTTAGTGAAGAAAAGGATGGACGCTGGAGGTTCTGTGTGGGTTACATGTCCCTGAATAAAGTCACCATACCAGATAGATATCCAGTGCCAGTTTTTGAGGAGCTACTGGATGAATTAAAGGAAGCAAGGGTATTCTCAAATTTGGATTTAAAAGTTTGGGTTCCATCAGATTAGAGTGAAGAGTTGTGATGTGGAAAAGACAGCCTTTAAAACACATCAGGGTCACTATGAGTTCCTAATGATGCCCTTTGGGCTCACTAACGCCCCCTCAACATTCCAAAGTGTGATAAATGATTTGTTACGTCCCCACCTAAGAAGATTTGTGTTTGTGTTTTTTGGCGATGTGCTAATCTATAACACTAACTTGCAGACCCATTTGAAGCACCTGGAAGTTGTCCTGCAGCTGCTTAGTCACAATCAGTTCTATGTGAATGCAAAAAAATGTTCTTTTGGACTGGCAGAGGTAGCTTACTTGGGGTATATCATTTCAGGGAATGGGGTAGCGGCTGATTCGGAAAAGAAATCTGCAATGTTGAAGTGGCATATGGCAATGTTAAGAGGGTTCTTGGGCTTAACCGGTTATTACAGAAAGTTTGTGAGAAACTATGGCCAGATTACGAGATCACTCACAGAGTAGCTGTAGAATAATGGATTCAAATTTTTAGATAGAGTAGAGTTAGCCTTTGAGGCATTGAAATTCGCAATAACTAGCATACATGTGTTGGCCTTGCCCAATTTTTTATCAACCATTCACTATAGAGACCGATGCATGTAGAGCAATAATAGGCGCAGTTCTGTCCCAGGGGAAGCGACCAATTGCTTTCTATAGCCAAGCATTCTCCCCTAAAAGAATAATCATATCCGTGTATGAGCATGAGCTATTGGCCATCGTGAAAGCGGTATCTAAGTGGAAGCATTATCTTACGGGGCAGCAGTTCATCATAAGAACTTATCAGAGAAGCTTGAGACACTTTTTGGAGCAGAAATCTGTGTCAACTGTGTAACAAAGGTGGGCAGCCAAACTGTTGGGGTTGAATTATAAGATTGAGTACAAGCCTGGAGTGCAAAACAAACATGGTGGCTGATCCGTTGTCAAGGAAATCCCCAATGGCTGAGTTGCAACATATTACCTTGGTGGCGTCACTATCCTTGGTTAAAGAAGAACTCAAGGAGCAAGTAAAAGCTAATCCTTGTTATGGGACGCTGATCCTCAAGTTGGAGAAAAATGAACAGGTCCAAAATGGTAACAAATTGGAGCAAGGGATGACAAAGATGGGTGACTGGTTGTTCCGTCAAACTCATCAGTGATTCCAAAGTTGTTGGAACAATTTTACTCTAGTGCCATATGAGGGCATGAAGGTGCACCGAAAACTTATAAGAGGTTGTTGCAGGATGTTTACTGAAGAGGAATGAGAAGGGCTGTGATGAATTTCATTACCCATTGCCATGAGTATCAGGAGAATTAATTATGCCACCACTTCACCCGTAGGACTCCTGTCTCATCTGCCTAACAATTTGTCCAATATGCTTGTCGCATTGGTTTTTTGTGCAAAGCAAGGCTGATCAATCACTCTTTGTCTACCATCGCGCCAATGGAACAACCTATCTTCTCCTATATGTGGACGACATTGTTCTCACCGCATCTTCAAGCACCCTCCTCCAAGGTATTATTTCATCTATACGCTAAGAATTTGAAATAACAGATTCAGGAGAACTTCACTACTTCCTTCGCATCGCCATCAAAAGAAACTCCTCTGGATTATTTTTTAATCAATAGAACTACACAGCCGACATACTCCACCGGGCCAATATGAAAAACTGTAATCCATGCACCACACCAGCTGATTCAAGAGCCAAACTAGCAGCTGATAATGGACCAGCTGTCGCGGATCCAACACTCTACCTCAGCCTTGCCAGAGCACTACAATACTTCACATTTACACGGTCGGATATCTCCTTTGCAGTTCAAAAAGTCTGTCTATTCATGCACCACCCACGAGAGCCTCACCTTAATGCCCTCAAACGCATCCTCCACTACATAAAAGGTTCTCTCGATTACGATTTACAACTTTATCCAACACATTCTTCCGGGTTAGTCGCATACACCGATGCAGATTGGATAGGCTGTCCTACGACAAGACGATTAACTTCTGGTTATTGCATTTTCTACGGCAACAACTTGATATCATGGTCATCGAAGCGACAACATACGGTCTCTCGCTCTAGTGCTGAAGCTGAATATCAAGGAGTCGCAAATGCAGCTCCCGAAACCACATGGATCCGCAATCTTCTCCTCGAATTACATTGTCCTCTCTCCAAGACTACTTTGGTCTATTGCAATAGCATTAGTGCAGTCTACCTCTCCATCAATCCAGTTCAACACCAACAAACCAAACATATAGAGATAGACCTCCACTTCGTTCGAGAACGCATAGCTATGGGCACAGTTCGTGTTCTCCATGTTGCCTCTTCTCAACAATACGCAGACATCTTCACAAAAGGACTTCCCACTCCTCCGTTACGGAATTTCGATCCAGCCTTAGCATAATCCAGAACGACGCTAAGACTATGGGAGGAGTGATAGACAAGGGAATATGTATTATTCACTTGCCTTATTTGTATAGATATTACTTGGAGAACATTCTTGTATATAATTCGATAAAACCCCCAAAAAATGAGTATCATTCCTTTTAATACATTTGGTATCTGATTAGTTTAAGAAAACGACAACGTATTGTATTGAGATTATTTAAGATATAAGCGAATACTCTCTTTTAATTAGAGGTTCTTTGACACTTCATCTCCAACAAAGATTCTTAATTAGGCACTTTTCTCTTCCTTTTTCTGCGACCAATTACGAGCTCTTCTTTCTTTTGATCTGGCTTTTTCTCATCAATGTGATAGGTACGTGCAACCTATGAGTACTCCCGCGTAATGAAATAACCTTGTCCTCAAGATTACAATCTTGAAACTAGCTTAGCAAAACAGACAATGATTCCTAAGTTGATTCAAAAGAAGGCAACCCTTTCCATTATACCCTTACCTCAGTCTCACCTTTCTCTGATTATCGACAGTCCAACAACTCTTCAGGTTCTGTATCCCTATCACATTCCAGTGACTACGTCAAGATATGTGGAATGTCCTGTGCCACTTGAGAGGTTGGTAAAGCTGCCTTTAACTGTGACACATGGAAAACCGGATGGATCCTGCTTCTAAGAGGCAACTCCAGCTTGTATGCCACCCTGCCTACACGAGCAATGACCTGATAAGGACCAAAATACTTCTGGGATAGCTTCTCGTTTCTCCATCTAGCCATAGTCACTTGTCCATATGGGCGCATCTTTAGATACATCTTGTCGCCTACCGCAAACTCTACGTCTTTCATGTACTTGTTAGCCTCCTTCTGCATTTTGGCTTGAGCAACTTCCAGGTTCTCCCTCAGCTCCAACAACAAACTATCTCGATCCTTCAATAGCTCCTCTACATTGGCATTGGCAATTTGAACATCTTCATACCGCAATAGATTTTGAGGTTCCCTTCCATAGACAACAAAGAATGGTGTGTTTTGGATAGAGGAATGGTAAGAGGTTTTATAACAGTACTTTGTCCAGGGCAACCATTGAGCCCACTTGGTAGGTTTCCTGTTGGTGAAGCATCTTAAGTACGTTTCAAGGCAGCGGTGTACTACCTCTGTCTGGCCATCGGTTTGACGGTGGTAAGTGTTACTTAGAAATCTCAGTGCCTCTCTCTATTCACTGGTAACACAATAATAATAAACAACTCATTTCTACTATTTTCTTTCTCTTCTCTCTTTCTCATCTTCGTTTTCTTCTATCTTTTTTTTTGTCCTTTAATCTTTGTTACAGCTTCAGTCCTAACAAAGCTTAATAACAAAAATCTCTCTTTATTTTTATTTTTGGTAGGAACAAAAACCACTCATTATTATTTCAGTTTTCTGATTTTTGGCGAATGTAATTTTTTTAAAAACCATTAAAATTTTAATTATTTTTTAAAAAATTAAATCGTCATTGGTAAAGTATTAAAAAAATATATATATATATATATATATATTAAAATTTTTACATTAGATAAAAAAAAAACGTAAATACTGGAGTTTATTCAAATTTTTAAAACCACACCGTCAATTTTGCCTTGTAAAATTCGTTGGATGAATCGTCAATCGTGTGCACCCTTTTCAATTTCTCCACCGCAACCGTGAACCGGCCCTCCCCGAACTTCGAATTCCAGTTTCCCCCACCCGGCGCTTGAGTACCACCGCCGTCACTTTCACAATCTCCCGACTGAGATCCTCCCATGGCGTTCGAAGGACTCCCACCTCTAATCGCTGACCAGCTCCACTACTTACTCAATCACTCGCCTGATTCCATCAAGGTAACAACATCTCCAATTTCACGAGATTCAATCTTCGATCATCTTCTTCAAGGTCCTGGATTTTGATTCGCCGTAGAAAGTAGAAAGTTAGGGTTTCTAAGCGTAATTGACTGATTTTGTTCTATGTAGATCGAAAATGTCTGGTCTGGTAACAAGATTAATCCCAAGATTCTCGATCGTTTTACTTTGGTGATACCTTATTGTCTAGAGACTATCAAATGTAAGTGTTTTCTTCGGGTAATTACGCAACGATTTTGTCGAAGCGGATCTTTGATTTCGTGTTCTTATTGTGGCAGGGGATGTTATTTACAATTCAGAGTATCCAGTGGATCCTCCTGATTTCGTATTCGGACCAGACGACGAAGATTTTATGCCGTGTAGTGCTATTGCTCCTGATGATGATCAGATATCATTATTGAAGAAGGCTTTGTCCGAGTGGGATAACGAGGACTCAACGCGGTTACTTGTTATCGTTCAAGGATTGAGGTTTTTTTCCTTTAAAGCTTTATCACCATTGTCTGATTAAGAATTTGAACCTTATTTGAGGTTTGTGCTTGGCTCAACAGATGTTTCTCTTTGATTATTATACTGTTTAGGGATCAATATGTGGCATACCAAAGAAGGCGTGTGGGCCAAATTGATGATGATCGCGTGAAGTTTGAGATTAGCACCGTTTTAACTCGCAAGGTATCATGCTGGTCATTCTTTTTTCATTAGGAGTTATTCTTAGTTTTATCCTATCTTCTCGCTGCATTCACACCTTCAAGTGATGGAAAAAAAAAGCAACGTTGTGGTGTGATATTGTTTGTGTAGCTAAGGCCTTTCGAGCATATAGATTCTGTTTAATGTTAGGTTTGTCACTAAATGATGGGTTCACAAGTAATTCTGTTTTTGGTTTGGAACTTTTTCCTTGGGAACAACTGTAACCACGACTTAGGTAGAACTTCACATCATGCTCATTGTTTATGTTCTTCTCGTTCCCCTATTCTCAGGGAATTGAAATGCAAATGGCTTCAGGAGTTGACAAGGTATGTATTGCTCTCAAGATTCTTTGTGAAGTAAGACGTATAATATGCATTTGACTTTCTATTACCATTAATTTTTAGTGTAGCCAGACGAAGTTAAGTTTGCAGTACCTCTTGTGATGGATATGAACATAAACAAAATGGTGGCTGGCTGTCCTTGGAAGCATCAGCAGAAGATTTATCTTCAGGTTTTCTCTTAGTTCCCTATAAGTCTCCTTTTATCCTATTCTCTATTCTTTTTTACTTGCTTGCATCTTCTTGATAAACTGGTTACGGATGCAGGTAGTATACCCGATTCTTCGAAAATATGAATCTGCACCTTCGACACCTCGTTTGAGATTAGTATCATCTTCTGATTTAAAAGCTCTATTCTCTGTTGAGGATGTTAAACTTCCTCCATGGATGGACGGGATGTAAGTTACATGCCAACACAGTTCACGTTACCTGCAAACAATACATGTATTAATCGTATATTTCTATTTCAAAGGTGCTTGGCTGAATATCTTCCCCATCTCGAAGAAACTCTTGAGAGACAAGTCAGTTCAACTAAATCTTCCTTCTTACATTTTCAAAAATTTATTTAGTTTGTGGGTATGAGTGCCTTATTAAGCTTAGTTTCTAGATTGAGGAAGCTGTTTCTGCAATTGATTTAAGAAGGAGTTTTATTGAGGCTTTGACTCTTTTTCTTGGAAGACCTCTTGAAGCTGATCCTGTAAGCATTTCTTCGCACGCCTTGACATAAGTTTATAAATGTTTCCAAGCTGCTTAACTTTCTTTTTTTTCTTTTTTTCTTGCTAGACCTTTTGCCGTAAGGCTACATTCCTTACTGCCTCTGGACAATTTACTTTCATGGTAATTTCATCACTATTCAAGCCTTATTTATTTTATTTTTTATACTCCAAAATGGAATTTGATTCAATTGCATTTAATCATGTTGAAACTTGTCTTCTAGAGAACTCTCAGTTTCATAATAAATACACTAAAACCTCTATAAATTAATAATATTGGAACCTATGTATTTTACTAAATTTTATTAATTTATTGTGTTTATTAATTTACAGAGGTGATATTCAGGCCAAAATATCGATTTAGGACCGGAGAAAATTATTAATTTAACGAAATATTAATTTATTGAGTATTAATTTATTTAGGTTCTACTGTATGTTAGCTATGGATAATTGGGTTTTTGGCTTTGATGTAGGTTCATTTCTTCTTTTCAGCTCAATTTCCGAAGCAGCAACCAACTCTAATGCTTCAGAGTTGTCAGGTATCAAAACTATTTGTAAACAAACCAAGTAGAAGGCTTCAGGTTTCCCTTGATTTCTTTAGGTATAAAGAATTGACTAGTTTTCTATATGCAGCATTTAAACCAATCAAGCGTGCCGGTAAAATCGAACCTCCTCACCGAGTACCCATGGAGTCCAAGATGGGAAGTCGGGCGCATGGCTGAGAGACTGTGGTTAGTCTCTTTGGACTCTTTCTTAAATGTCTCATTAACTAGTTCTGCTTTTTAACATTTAAAAGTTTACTTTTGCAGTGACTTCCTGACCGACGAGGCTGCCAACTTCAAAAAATATTGTAACGAAGCTCTACTCCAACATTAGTGTATCTATATCTAAAGTTAGTATTGTCTAAATTTTGTGTAACACTCCTCTTGCTATGTAAACTGAAATGGAGTACTGTTATGCTTTAAGGAGAATACAATTATAAGCATTTCTTCTTGATTTCAACATGCTTTTTCTTGGCTATAGGATTCATTGGCTCTGTTTGCTTTTACATGTCATAAAAGTTTCGAATTTTACATGACTTCAATAGCATATTAAGAAAAGAGAAGGAAGGGAATGAGTGGGTTTGAAGAGTTTAAAGTTCCTAGAATTAAGTCCTTGGCTTTCTGTTACTTCTACTATCTGTGTTCATCGATTAGTGAGAAAAAATGAAGACAACTCCAAACGGTTCTTAGGTGGAATAGATTATTTAGGCTTTGAATAAATGATGTAGGAAAAGCGGATTAAACCGTTATCGGACAAAACCACTCTATTTTTGTAGCGGACAACAAACCGCGGCAGACTAAGTTTATCTCTACTTAAAAGCGGTCCGTAGTTAGTTCGCCGCGGATTTTTTCTATTTTTTTCGATCCGCACTATTACGGATTATAGTTTATGAATGGTAAACAAAAACCGGTCCAAACCGCAAACGGATTTGTCCGCCCTAACCGTCGCAACCATTTGAACCCTTAGACGATTCAACATTATTAAGTCAGTGGGGATCAAACTAGGTACTATAATCGCGGTCTCTCTTTTGATGGTTTTGTTGGAGTTTTGTACTGACTTCAGACTTTTATACTGTCTGAAATCTAGAAATTCCCTTTTGTTTTTAAGAGTAAGTTTTTGTAATTTGTAGTGAATGGACTCAGTGTTGATTCCGACCTTGTCTCTCTTCTTCTACCTGAATTTGTTGTAGATCTCTCTTGTTAAACCTCTTGTGTCCTGCCTCCGTCCTATTATGTTTTCAAGGGTTTTATGCCACTTTTATGATCCCGAGTCCCGACTGTACTTTCTCTTTGTTAGGTTTTAGGGTAAAAAAAATAGATATGATTGGTTATAATTATGGTAGTAGATTTGACTTAAAACTTTAGCTATTGGCTATGCAATGGAAAACATACTAATGTGAATGTCTTTGCTTCTACTAACTATAACGAACATATGGTCTTTGATATCCTATTTAATAAATTGACACTTTTGGAAAACAAAAAGGCTAATAAACGGTAAACTTACATTAAAATAAAGTATGCAAGCAATGAACTTGAAGGAGAAAACTAATCTATTAAAAAGAGAAATCTTTGTTTTTGATTAAGGTTAAAAACGTGCCTTTGATGGCTCCATGAGAGTATGAGACCATGACTGCATCTAAGACTGCTTCAAAGCAAACATAGAGATGATCAAACTTTCACTTTCTGAAAATGGCCCTAGAATAGATGTAAGGACCTCCACTTAAAAATCTCAGACTTTAGCAAAATGAGTTTTGTAACTGGCTTTCTTTTCACCTATAAGTTTTGTCTTCATTTTCCCACATTGGTCAACAGTAATAATCATAATGCACCTCTTCTTAATTTCATCAATCATATCTTCTAATGTATTTTTAAGGTATACTATCAGCCTTTCTTTCAAACAACTATGCAATTGATGAAATCTTCAAGAAAGTAAATTGATACTAAATTTTTGTTCTTCTTTTGGCCAACATATTTTCTTATATCTAATGGGTTTCAAACACAATATTTGAAGCCCACGATTTCTGTAAAGAAAATAATATTATGAAAAAATAAATAAAATAATAGTGTATGTCACGTAAATACTATATACGGGCCACATATTCTATTATTTTTTTCATTTTTTATGTATGTCAAATAATTTTCGTCTTTTTTTGTTTGTCAATTATTTATTTTATTATATGTTTTCATTTATTTGTTTTTAGGCTCTTAATATAAAAGTTTTTGATTTTTTGTTATTACAAACTATGAAAATGCCACATTTTCTTTCTTTCTTTGAACCCACTATTTTTATGGGACCGTCCGCATATTTGTTCATTTACATAAACTTTTATCATATTTTGTGTATAATCTTCTCAAATGAGCAACAAACCATAATTATCTTTTAAATTCCATTTTGGCCCAAAAACTCATTTTCTACAAAGGATAAGTGAAAAAAGAAATTCTACTTGCCACATAATCATCGATATACTCGTACTCTATTTCATTGTGTGCTGTCATTACACAGACCTGAAATGATAAAATAAGGCATGCTGTTTTTTCGCAGAAGATGTAATATGGTGTGTATCATTGCAAACATTAGCTAGGTATTGTTGCTTATTGACTATGTTGTCGGCGTTAAATGACAAACCTTATCAAAGAAAGAAACAAATTATTTCTTAGCTCATTCTAATTGTGGTTGTAGATTTGAACTTTTAAACTTATTTCCTTTGAACAATTTACTTTCATTTTACCATGATCATCTTCTTTATCCATACTAAGAGTCTAAGAGCCTAGCAACCGTTTTTTCATCTTGACTATTAGATGAATTAATTACGAGAAATGCCACTTTCTCGCGTGGCATTTATTGATTTTGACCTTTTTGGAACAGTTTGTGAGTTTTGCCATTTATGGCTATGCGAAAAGACAATATTACCCTCATGTGGCTGAGGAAAAAATTTGGGATCGTCAATTGCTTGCTTCGTTAGATTTTTTGCAGTCCCTCGATCCAATGACAACTCCAGTTTAAGCAAGACCAAAAGACGAAAGCTTTTAAAACAATCTCTTTTTCTTTGGGTTTTGATTTGTCTAAGAGAAATTAAAAAAAAAAAAAACTCAAAACTTTCATGAATATGTGATTGTAATTTTCAAATTTGGTTTAGATTTGAAGACAAATTAGAAGTTTTAATTAAATTAATGTTTATTATTGAAGCCCTTGGGTTTAGTAGCCATTATTCCTCTAGGGTTTAGTTTTTTCCACCCAAAATCATTGAATTCAACCAAAGAAATGGTGTTAGTGGCGATGAGATTTCATGAATCGGAAGCAAAGGTGATGATATTAATAGGGTTGAAACTGAAAGCGCTGATGGAGTTGAAGGAGATACGTCGATGGAGCACGACGGTGGTGGTCGGCAAGCAATTGTGAACGGCAAAGCAAGCAAAAACGAAATGGAAGCCAAAGGTTGAAGACAAGGGCAAAAACGTCATTTCATGAGGCCCAAAATGGCAAATTCACAAGGCCAATTTAAAAATGGCATGGACAAAAGATTAAATCCAAAAATGGCAATATAGACAATAATCCCCTATTAGATTCTCATGACTTACACTAGCAACTAATTACATCTCAAATTAATTGATATCAAAACAAACTTTTTCTTCACATCACAATAACAAAAAGAAATAAGTTTTAGAAGGCTAAAGCAAAACATTCAAACTTTAGAATTTAGTACTTTTTCTTAGTTGCACGATAAGGTTGATTGTTCCACCTCCTTCTTATCATCTTCAATAATTCCGATTTAGAAAAAATATAATTTATAATTTTATTTCAGAAGATAAGCAAAATCGAGTACGAAGAACCGCATAATTAAATCAGAACTGATTACGGGTTTCAATCATCTTGGATTTAAATAAGAACGAAATCGATTCTCATATAAATCAAATTGGTTTATTTTTCTTTGAACCCAACTTAATTTGGTGATTTTAAGGTGTTTTTCATTTTGTTTAGAAGTCCACCAATATTCATTTTGTTTTAACTAACATGGTTCTAAAATACATTGCTTAACTCAAAACTGATTTTTTTTTTATCAAATGAAATTATTGAGTTTTTTTTTAAAATTTTATTCTACAAAGAATTTACCACTCAAAATCAATATACCATTTGATTAAAAAATAAAAAAATCATACCATAAAGCATAAACCCTAGAGGACCAAACACTTTTTTCAATATATGAACAGTCCAAAATAAAATGAAATTAACAAAGTTTTGTAGTGTAGCAGCATTTACAGGCTCCTATGGAATCTCTGAGTCACGTCGGCATTGGTCTCTTCCCGTTCCAATTATGCCGACTTCCACCGGCGACGACAAAGCTCCGACGTAGTCACAACACCTCCACTACGATCTGCTCCGCCAGCAAATGGGCCGACCGTCTTCTCTCCGACTTCAATTTCACCTCCGATTCCTCCTCCTCCTCCTCCACCTTCGCCACCGCCACCGCCACTCTCGTCTCTCCACCACCGTCTATCGATCGCCCCGAACGCCACGTTCCCATTCCCATTGACTTCTACCAGGTATTAGGAGCTCAAACGCATTTCTTAACTGATGGAATCAGAAGAGCATTCGAAGCTAGGGTTTCAAAACCGCCGCAATTCGGGTTTAGCGACGACGCTTTGATCAGCCGGAGACAGATTCTTCAAGCTGCTTGTGAAACTCTGTCGAATCCTCGGTCTAGAAGAGAGTACAATGAAGGTCTTCTTGATGATGAAGAAGCTACAGTCATCACTGATGTTCCTTGGGAAAAGGTTCCTGGTGCTCTATGTGTATTGCAAGAAGCTGGTGAGACTGAGGTTGTTCTTCAGGTAGGAGAAGCTCTGCTTAAGGAGAGGTTGCCTAAATCGTTTAAGCAAGATGTGGTTTTAGTTATGGCTCTCGCGTTTCTCGATATCTCGAGGGATGCTATGGCTTTGGATCCACCTGATTTTATTACTGGTTATGAGTTTGTTGAGGAAGCTTTGAAGCTTTTGCAGGTAGTTTCACTTGTTTTGGGATAGTTTGCTGTATTGGTTGCATTGGCTTTATAAGAACTCTCTGGATTTGATACTTTGTTCTTGTGTCTTGTGTAGGAGGAAGGAGCAAGTAGCCTTGCTCCGGATTTACGTGCACAAATTGATGAGACTTTGGAAGAGATCACTCCGCGTTATGTATTGGAGCTTCTTGGCTTACCGCTTGATGATGATTACGCAGCGAAAAGACTAAATGGTTTAAGTGGTGTGCGAAATATTTTATGGTCTGTTGGAGGAGGTGGAGCATCCGCTCTTGTTGGGGGTTTAACCCGTGAAAAGTTTATGAATGAGGCGTTTTTACGAATGACAGCTGCTGAGCAGGTGTACAATTTAGATACTTTTCTTATTTCTTTAGCATGAATTAACTTTAGATTTCTCATTCTAATGTATGTCCTTGTGTTGTAGGTTGATCTTTTTGTAGCTACCCCGAGCAATATTCCAGCAGAGTCATTTGAAGTTTACGAAGTTGCACTTGCGCTTGTGGCTCAGGCTTTTATTGGTAAGAAGCCACATCTTTTACAGGATGCTGATAAGCAATTCCAGCAACTTCAGCAGGCTAAAGTAATGGCTATGGAGATTCCTGCGATGTTGTATGATACACGGAATAATTGGGAGATAGACTTTGGTCTGGAAAGGGGACTCTGTGCGCTACTTACAGGCAAAGTTGATGAATGCCGTACGTGGTTGGGCTTAGACAGTGAGGAGTCACAATATAGGAATCCAGCTATTGTGGAGTTTGTCTTGGAGAATTCAAATCGTGATGACAATGATGATCTCCCTGGACTCTGCAAATTGTTGGAAACCTGGTTGGCAGGGGTTGTCTTTCCTAGGTTCAGAGATACCAAAGATAACAATTTTAAACTTGGGGACTACTATGATGATCCCATGGTTTTGAGTTACTTGGAAAGAGTGGAGGTAGTTCAGGGTTCCCCTTTAGCTGCTGCTGCAGCCATGGCAAGGATTGGAGCCGAGCATGTGAAGGCTAGTGCTATGCAGGCACTGCAGAAAGTTTTTCCTTCTCGCTATGCAGATAGAAACTCAGCTGAACCCAAGGATGTGCAAGAGACGGTGTTTAGTGTAGATCCTGTTGGTAACAATGTAGGCCATGAAGGTAAGCCTGATGTCTTTATTGCAGAAGCTGAAAGACCCTCTGAGAACTTTGAAACTAATGATTATGCAATTCCAGCTGGGGTCTCAAAGAGTAGCGCTGATGCAATTACTGTTGAAATGTCCGTTGCTGATATGTTAAAGGAGGCAAGTGTGAAGATCCTAGCCGCTGGTGTGGCTATTGGAATGATTTCGCTGTTCAGCCAGAAGTATATGACTCTTAGAAGCAGCTCATCTTTTCAACGCAAGGATATGGCTTCTTCTATGGAATCTGACATTGCTACCATAGGTATGATTATATGATGCAATTTTCATATAAGTTCATTGCTCAAAGTAAGCATGTTTATGAACTTAGGACATAGTTCCCACTAAGTTGTTCAAAATTAATCAAATTCCTTAACAGGATCGAAAGTAGTTCAACTACTTAATACATGTCCCAAAAGTTATACCAAGATTAATAAGTTGCTGAGTAAATTTCACTACTTAAGCTGCTTGAATTTTTTGATGAAACGGTAGACAGAAATGTATATTTCACTCTCAACATTTGTGTAGGATAGCGTACGATTAGATATTGTCTTAGTGTGGCTTTGTCCAACTTTTCTTTCCTTTAATCTTTTTTTTTTTTTCTGATTCAGGGTCAGTGAGAACTGATGATTCAGAAGCACTTCCCAGGATGGATGCTAGGACTGCAGAGAGTATAGTATCCAAGTGGCAGAAGATTAAGTCTCAGGCTTTTGGGCATGATCACCGCATAGAAATGTTACCAGAGGTAAGAGAATAAATCCATAATTTAATCGATTATGCGAAAAATGTTGACCTGTTTCTAGCGATTGGAACGATGTCTGGTGCCTTTCATGACTCTGGTTATTTATAGGTTTTGGATGGGCGAATGCTGAAGATTTGGACTGACAGAGCAGCTGAAACTGCGCAGCTTGGGTTGGTTTATGATTATACACTGTTGAAACTATCTGTTGACAGTGTGACAGTCTCAGCAGATGGAACCCGCGCTCTGGTGGAAGCAACTCTGGAGGAGTCTGCTTGTCTATCTGATTTGGTTCATCCAGAAAACAATGCTACAGATGTTAGAACCTACACAACAAGATACGAAGTCTTGTGGTCCAAGTCAGAGTGGAAAATCACTGAGGGATCTGTTCTTGCAACATAATATGCTCATATGTAGCATACCCGAGCTTGCGAAATTCTCTTTGTTTTGTAAATTCTCTCTCTAAGTTAGTTTTTATAAACGAACACAAAAAAAATTAAAGTTCTTGGCACACCCTCAATCCTTGATCTAAACTATAACATAAGGGCTACAATTTGGGATTCTTTCGCAATCAGGTACAAGCAGAACTTGACTTATCTTACATTCAAGCCTTTCACAACTTAAACGATCAGTTTGGAGACTTATGTTTGGTTTATGTTCTATAAATGTGCTCTGATTATCATCTGGTCAAGCGTATACCAGAGAATGATTTGGTAAATCTCCAGCCAGATGATTTTACGTTCTCGGTTCTAGGTAACAAGCTGAGGCCAAACATTTCCTTTGGCATTCGACTTGGCTCAACAAATCCAAGCAGCTTAGCCACAAGAGAAGCACTTTCTTTTATGTGTTCCATATCTTGGGTGTTGGTCCACAGCTTGTGCGCCACTTGCAGGCTTCTCTGCTTTGAGTTCACCTCCACGCCCCATTTTTGGTAAAGCTCTATTCTTTGGCTCCATGGAAACTTCTTTGGTAATTGTTTGGAAAGCCATTCCTTCTCGCGTGTGAGTGCCTTCACTGTTTGTATCCTGATTAGACACCAAAGGAACTGGTTAGCATAGTACTTATGTGTATATGATTGATATTGATGAGACTCGTTAAAAAGGTGTTGCAGAAAAAAACCTTGATGCTTCCATGTCATTAGATATCGTCTGCTTCAGAAAAGATAGCCTTCTAAGTTCGACTTCCATATAAACATAGTCGGAAGGATCACCTTTGAAGAGCAAGAAGAAGTAGGTTCTATGAACCAGTGGTACATTGCAAACCGCCCAAAGCTCTATTATTTGCCTTTGCTGCCTCTCAAAGTCTGAAGAAATGCTTGAATATTCTCCATTAGCAGCTACCTGTAGTTTCTCCTGGGAAGCCTCTGTGGAATCTGTTTCCTTAGGTTTTGCTTCTTCTACCTGTTATTTGTGATCATCCAAACTGTTGAGAAAGGATGCAAGTTTTTGTCTTTCAAAGAGAATAAAAATTTTGGCTTACCGAATCATCGGCCTGCTCTCTCTTTGATTGATTATTGGTGGCATCTGTGGTTTCCTGAGGATTTGGCAATGCATTCTCGTTTCCTCTAATGCTATTTGCAGGGCTGCCCGGTCTGATCTCCAATCTTTCGGTTCTTGTGGGGGCATATGGAATCCCATAATCTAGCTCCGGTGTCGAGTCAATTGAGTGATGCTTCTTTGCCATTTCTTCAAGCCCGGCTACAAATTCACGGAAGCTATTACCCATCTCAGGATCATAGTCTTTCAGGCTACGTGTATCCATAGAAGTAGAACTCCCCGAATCAAAGGAAATGCTCGAAGTGTTGGGTCTTCCAGGAGAAGCTTTTGTCTGCATAACCCTCCAAGCAGGTGATGTATTGTTATTGCCTTCCAAATTCTCAAACCAATGAGGAGATCTAACACTCAAGAGAGTCTCTCTGCAACTTCGGCTTCTTTTGGTAGTAAAACATTCTGGGCTCATATATTCTCTTCTGAAGGAGGGTGACTGTTGTTGTTCTGCTGTGTGCATGCTCATAAGGTATTCAATTTTCTTCTGCATCTCCTTAACTTTTTCTTTCAAAGCCATGTAAGTGTCGTTGTCATTATCATCTGTCCCAATATTTTTGCAGACTGATGATTCGTTACAATCTTTATCAGCCTCTTGTTGCTGTTTTCTCTCCCACTTATCTCCAGATGTCGCATCCTCATCTAACTTAGCATCCTTGAGTGTTAAATCCACTTCGACTGTCGCATCTAATTGGTTATTAATAGGGAGTGAATTCAATTCACAGTCTTCCGTTGATTGCTGTTCTGACTGAGCATTTTCTTCTTTATTTAAGCATTGCTCAGCTTGCTTAGTGGAAGGACTCATTTTCCTTTCTTCGTTCTTCATTTGTTCGTCTTCTTTCACAGATTCCTGTGATTCTTCAGCTTCAACTGATGGGTCCATCTCCAAATCCGAGTTCTTTAAAGTTAGCTCATATGTCTCAGGCTTAGCATTCCCACACAACTCTACATCTATTGTTTTCAAAGATAAGTTAACATTTTCCGTTTCTGTAGGTGTGCTTATCTCTATGTCTTCATTCTCGGCTTTCTCATTACCTGTAGAAGAGTTAAAGCTCTGTTCGTATTCCAGAGCTGATAACTGTTCTTCCTTTCTAGGTGTGCTAATAATCTCCATGACTTCATTCTCGGCTTCCTCATTACCTGTAGAAGAGTTATAGCTTTGTTCGTGTTCCGGAGCTGATAAAATTTCTTCCTTTCTTGGTGAGTCAACAGTTTCCTTTTCATTTTCTGAAGGTGTTCTAATCTCCATGTCTTCTTCATTCTCGGCTTTCTCTTCACCTGTAGAAGAGTTATAGCTTATTTCGTATTCCAGAGCTGATAGAGTTTCTTCGATTCCAGGTGTGCTAATCTCCATGTCTTCATTCTCGGTTTTGTCATTACCTGTAGAAGAGTTATAGCTTTGTTCGTATTCTAGAGCTAATAAACTTTCTTCCTTTCTAGGTGAGAGAACCTCAGAGATAGCTCTCTTATCAACAATGACATCTAATAAGTCATGGATTTCAACTGTTGCTGGTTGTCTAATACTCTGCTCAGCTTCAGGTTCAATGCATCTAACTTCTTTGCATGCGTCTTCAAGTCTTTCGTCGGTTATTTGAACCAACTCCTCCCAGCCATCGTACAGGTTATGCCTCGAAAATTGAGGGGTTTTATCATCTAGCAGGAAATCATCTTCTTCAGAATTTTCCAAAAACTCAAAGTTCCTCTCGGTTAAGTTATTGATGATACTAGGATCTCCAAGATCTGTTGAATCATAGCTTCTTCTTCGGAAATCGGCATCAAAATCCATGGAGCTAAACATGGATTGTTCATCCATCCTAGAAGACCGCTCTTCTGCTGTTGATTTAAGTAAATTCTCCACCTGGGATTGAGCTACATCACGTTGCCATTTTAATTCTTTCATTTGTTCCTCCATCTGCAGTTTGTGGTCAAAAGTTTCAAAAATTAAGTAGATTTCTTAGTGGAAAAAAGAGAGCAATGTAATAAGAAGAATTCAAGAGAGTGGAATCACTTTTGCAATCACTTCCTCTTTCTGTTTCAGCAGAGAATAGAAGTCAGAGTCTCCAGAAGCTGATCCTAGATTCTTTAACTCATTCTCCATTCGAGCCAGTTCTTTTTGCAGTTGCCTCACCAAAGCTTTCTCAGACACAACCAGATTGACCTGAGCATTTGTCGTCACCTCTTTAGCACAGATTGCAAAGAGAAGGGTGTTTCTCGACTGTTCAACATGACTACGTGCAGGGCTCATTGTGCATATGATAGCTGTTCTCGCATTTCCTCCCAAAGAGTTCTGAAGGATTCGAGTTAGCTTTGAGTCTCGATACGGTATGTGCCCGTTTTTACCTTTACTGCACTTCAAAATAATTACACTGTCTGTTAAAACACCACTTTGTTGGTAAAACATGATTTTACTATGTCATATAATCGAACCTTAGTTTGCGGATGACTGTTCCAAGAGTAAGTAAACTCCTGTTTATATGACAACCTTCTTTCAATCTTGTACCAGCAGATAAAGTCTGAGAAGCTCGTTCACTTCCAGCCAGATCAATGAAGCACTTGAGAGGCAAAGAATCAAAAACACATGTCAGCAGAAAAAGAAAAAGGTAGAAAGCTTAATCAATAAACCAAACTACTCATTGTAATTGTACAATACCACGGACGCTGCAAGAGTGCTTGAGCTATCAGGAGAATATTCTCGACCAGTGCTTTCAATTGTCTGCAGGAAATGCATTGTTTAGCATAGTGAGAATGAAAAGTTAGAATCGAAGAAAAAAGGATGGATTAACCGAGAGTATGTACCAGCCGGAGTATTTGATGTGATCTAGAGCTAACTTCATTCAGGGAGGTCTCTCCAATCTTCCTCTGAGCTGCAACAACACTGGTACATTAGTTAACGTTCAACTAATTTTATATATATGTAAGCCCAGCGTGTTACTCACTCTCACAGACTGTAAGAAGTTCCTCTAGATGTGTTCTGTCTCGGATGGTCTCCTCGATAAGTTTCTCAACGACGGTTCCTCTCTGGTGAAGCAAGAGGTCAGAAATGAGTGAGGCCTAACAAAATATGATAGAGGGTATAGCATAATATCGAAAAACAAGTAATGTGTACCTCTGGATCATCGAGAAGCCTCAGTTGATTATTATCCCCACTTAGGAGATCCCTCACAGCTTCATTGTAAATCTCAATTGCAGAGAATTTCAGAGTGAATTTGCGATCTGTATGCTGAAGAAAATGAAAAAGAAGAGTGGTTGTTTGGTACTTATGAAGGAAGAAATAAGAGACAGAGAGAGAAAGAGATGTCGATGCCGCAGAGTTTTTGTTCAAACCTTTTGAATGTAACAAAAAATGTCGTCCATTGCAAATTTAGTGATGCCACACATTGTGTACGTCTTCCCACTGCTTGTTTGTCCATATGCGAAAATGCTTGCTGCAAAACCAAATGTGTCAAACCAAATTCATTGGTACAAAGACAAATTAGATCGAAATATTGAAGTCGGTTTTGGTTACAATTGATTCCGCCGAGAACACAAAGAGCAACCTCCTTTGCTCCATCTTCATAGACTTGTTTCGTGGGGGAATCGAATCCAAACACTTTATCTGTAAAAATTCAAAACTTGTTTTCTTAGCATCATTATATTAACTCTACAATGGTTAACCTAGCTTTGAATATTTCTGAACATCTTACCAAATGTATAGGTAGAGGGGAAGAGAGATCTCTCAGGCAAATTATTATTGCATATTATTGTTGTGTTGTTTACACATTCCCAATCGCAAATATCATTCCTCGCCTTCTCTTTCTCGTTCTGCGGCCTTACCCTTACCGAAACCAATATCTTCTCCCCTTTTCCGCTACTCGCCATTTTCTAACCCTCTCTTTCTTCAATACATTGCTACCAGAATTGGAATCCCTTGCTTGAGAAGAAGAGAGAGAGAAAAAGAAACGTTTAGATTGAGAAGAATAATAGATTTAAGAAAAGCATGAAGGGAAAAAGATACAATTAGAAGGCAAGAAAAAAAAAAACAGTCGGGTAAATTCTAAAAATGGGTGAAAAGGCTTTATTGGGGTTTCTTCTTCCTCAAACAAACATCTATATATTCTCTAAACCCTAAAATAAGAATGTAGACAGATATAATCCTTGTACTCCTCAGCTAACCTATGACCTGTCTAAGCTCTTACACGAATGGCCAATACGATCAAAATACAGATTAGAGAAAATGGTATCCAATCAAGTATTGAAAACCATAATTGCGTTGCCTTGTCAAACACATAACTGAAAGCATTGGTGGCATTTACCAAGAATTTACTTATATGTCTACAAATAAACAAGATCGTATAAATTCATTGTTGATATGGAACAATTTACATATATATGATATACGAGTGACATACCAGAATATAAATTCATTGTTGTGTCATGTAAGTGAATATGAAAAACAATACAAACACTTTCTAAAGACATAAGAAAAATACAAAAGGAATTTCATTCTCATCATAATTGTATCTCTCTATTGTTATTCTTCTTTTATTATTCTACAAATATAGTCCTAAATTCGATAATTATTAATTACTCTTAAGTTGTACAACACGTTATCAGCATGTTCATGTAAAAATTCGTACTGATTTATAATAAGTTATAAATATTTATTACGAATTCAATCGCTATGTAAATATTGAATTAAATCTTGATCATATATAATATTTCGAATATACCTGAATATTCTGCAGCGATTCAAGATTATCTTAGCACTCTAATTGTTTTGCCTTATATTGATATCTACACGCACACAGGCCAAATCAGACACAATATGTTAGTACCACCGAGATTCCAGAGACTGTCTTTCGCTTTCACGGGAATGAGGGTTTTAAGTGTTTACTTGTCACACAATAAACATATAGAGCTCACAATATTATGTCTTTGGGAGATTATGAGTTTTCTCTTTTAGAACTCTCTGTTCTCGTCTATTTATGTCTCTCTATCTCCGAATCTATGAGATCATATCTATATATATACACGCATGTAACCCTAGCTAGACTTACCCACGTTAATGTGGGATGGGCTTTTTCCAATTCCAAATTGGATCGGAACTTTTCCATCTAACGTGAATATATGTATCTTATTATATAAAGTATGGTTTTCAAAATCAATAACCCATAGGATCGTGCCACGTGTCAAATTATACACACATGTCAAATTTATCAACATGTAAAATAAAATAAAACATTTATAAAGAAATTATACGTATATATCTTATATAAAACAATTCTAAAAATCTAAAGAAGATAAATATAAGGAAACTTGATGTATGTTATGAAATAAAAATAGAAATTTAATAACCAAAACTATAAGGAAACTATACATATATCTTATAAAAAAAATTAAAAAAATAAAGAAGATAATTATAAGGAAACTATATGTATCTTATTAAACAAAATTAGAAATTAAACAATTATTTACTAATCCTAATTTAAAGCTACTAATTCTAAAAACAAAAGATTAGTTTTTCCTTAAAATTAAAAATAATTATGAAATTATACAATCTTATTGTATAATATGATAACTAAAATTTTCTTATAATCAATTATTAATCCTAGAAGAAAAAGGATTACAAATACTCACCTCTATAGATAAAAATAAATAAATAGATAGATAGACAAATTAAGAATATATGACGATGAAAACAAATTAAGAATTATGAACGGCAATAAACATGAAATAGAGTTGTTGTCGAAGAAACTCGACCCGATGTCGGAGGAGATAAAGAAGGTGGAGAAATAAAAGTAGTTGGGGAAAGAGGGGAAGATGCGGTAACGGTGGTGTTGGTGTTGATGACGGTGGTTTAAGCTTGGTGGTGGTGGTGCGGGCGGTAAATATTGATGAAGATGGTTGGTCAGAATTAGCGAGATTTAGTATTGATGGTGATGGTGATTGTGATAGTTGTGAGATTCAGTTGTGGTAGTGGCTTGGTGGGTCGGATTAGTGAGACTCAGTTGTGATGCCGACGAAAGAGAAAAATAGTGATATGGAAAAAAAAATATGGTGGTGAAGAAATCCAATGAGAGGGAGATAAAGAAAAAGAAAGAGGAGATCGAGCAAAAATAAGAGAAATCTAATGAGAGAAAAATATAGATTTGAGACTTCTCGCCAGCGAGAGGAAAGAAAAAGGAGACAACGAAGAACTCATGAGTAATATGGACCTAAAATTGACAAAAATCATATAGTAAATAGACATTGTTTAGTTAATATTATTTTCTTAAATTTTTTTTAGTCTTAGGTTATTTAGTGCATATTCCCTAATTTCTTATGAATTTGTCTTTTTGTTTTGAGGATTTCTCATATTATCAAGTAAAGTTACATGATGTGGATATAAACTGTCTCATATTGTTATAATTTTGTTTCCATCTTGCCCACATTGAAATTAGAAAGTGTTATACACTCTTCCGATGAATGTAGATAATTTATTAAAATTCAATAATACACATATGAACATTTATTAAATATTATACTATAACATATAATAAACAAAACTACAAATAGTATTTTATATTGTACATTATGCATAATTAATGTATATTTAAAAAATAATTAAAATACTACATTTTCTAAAACTAAAACATATTTTTATATAATTTTAGTACAAAAATAAAAATAAAAATAACAATTTGGATCGATAACCCGTGCAACGCACGGGTCCATATCTAGTATTATATGTAACACCCCCTTAAATGAAATCACAAAAAAAAAAAAAAAGAGTTGAACCAAATAGAAAATCAAAATTGCATCTGGTCATTATCTCTCTTGCTATGATCCTTTTCCACATTTGGTTCACAAACTCCACTTAAAATCTTGTTGGCGCATAGCGGAGGCTGGTTGTGAGCCGTGGTCCAATCCATGCGGCGGTCTTGCTTCCCTTGGGGTCTCTTCCATGGGAAATCCACTCTCTTTCGTAGGTATACTTGAAGATGGTGTTCAAGTGGAGGAGGCAGGTTCTAGTAGTTAGATTAGCTTCTAGGATTGCTTCTTTCTCTGGTTCTTGTGGCAGATAAGGTCTTAACAGGATCATGTCTGGTAGTGAAAGCTTGCTTGGCTACGCCGCCTCTTGTTTGCTTCTGTCTTGAAGTCGTATGGTTGGCGGTTTAGCTGTTGATGTAGCCTTGGTGTTGCTTAACTTGCTTTTGCCTTGAAGCGCTGTCATGAAGGCCTCGCAATGGCTTTTTCTTAAAGTCTTTGTCTCCGGCTTCCTTTCCTGTGACGATCTAACTTTGCTTCCATGTTTTAGCATTTTTTGTAACCAAATCTTTAGGTTGAACAAATTTTGTAAACTTTAAACATTTTTACTTTAATTTTTTTTATGTTCTTAGCCAAAAGTATATAAAATATATAAACTCCAGTTAAAATCTTATAAGTTGAAAGAGCTCCCTCTTCTTTGTTCTATGAATTGAGTTAATAAAAAGAAACCAAAAAACTTATTGAATGAACACATATATGCATGTTTAAAAAGAAAACGAGCTGTATTTGGGTTATGTCCTGGGTTTCGCTAGCCCATCAAGATTGAATATCGCTTGTCTTAGTATGAGTTTCTTCTATATTGAAATAAAATTCTGATGATATATGTTTATAACACATTAACACCAATCACTATAAATCTGAACTTATATTCACTGCAACCAGAGATAACTGGCACCCAAATTCTAAGACGCAAACTCATCTCCATAAAAGGAAACCAGCAGAACTCTAAGAAATGGAAAATAACAATAAATAAAAATGTACTTTTCACAGAAATCCCTTTCCTTTTCTCGATAACAAATGAATTTCCTTTTTAAATCAGAAAATACCTGAAAAAAATTTAGGCAAAAGCTGGCTAATAAAATCTACGTTCCCTCTCTCAAATTGAGTCCAACATAAAATCTCAACGACGACATCTTGAGAATCCAACGAGAATGATCCAAAAAATAACACAAGAACACCAATCCTCGGCAATGAAAATGCATCGTCCCTTTTCTGCATCGAAGAGTCAATACTTGTTCTACGGTATGTCGTCGGAAAACCCTAACAAGAGTTTGGTCTCCACGACTCTATGTTTGTCGTCATGTGAACACCCTAAGAAGAGGAAGATAAACTCTAATGATGATCATTAGGTTTCTTGCAGACCAAGCGACTACAAATTAACAAAAGCAGAAAGAAAGAATGCACAGATGAGGAATCTCTCGAATGAAGGAAAGGGAGAGGACGAATGGTACGGTGTCTCAACAGAACTAACACTCTTCAAAGATCCTTGGATCATCAAGAAGGTACTAAGTTACTAACCACTAGCGATCTTGACCAGCTTGGTCGTCTTCTTCTTCAGACTGGCCCCATTGAGGACCATATTGTAAAATATCTCAACAAGGATGATAAAAATAAGGTCCAGGAAGGGTTAGGAATCACGGTCAATGTGTACGAGCATGACACTGACTCTACGTTCGAGCTGCTTCCAAAGAGATGGACCACTTGGAATAGTTATGTTTTAAACGGAGGATGGCGTATGTATTTTGTCCGTAGGAGAGGTTTGAGAAAAGGCGATGAAATTGGACTATTTTAGGATCGTTTTCCTTCAAGGCTACACTTTCGTGTGCTTTCTCGCGCAACTACATAAGTTTTTGTAGATCAGAAGAACCCTAACTAGCTGATATATATTGGAGCAATGAGTGGAGTGAGAGAGATTCTGTTTTTTTTCTTTGTTTCCTTGAAGGCTTATCAAGTTTAGCATTTACATTTGCATTATTTTCTTTTCATGAACTAATTATTGGAATTGAAGCTAGTCTTAGTTAATTTTGATACATTTTTAATACTATTTAAATGTCATAGAGACTTTAAATATTTTTATGATTACTTTAATATTTCTTTTTGTCCATAAATTTGTTATTCATATCGCATGTTTAATTTTTTATTTTTATACAAAAGCTATTGAAGATATTTAATTTTGAAGAAAAATACCCTATAGTACCACTAAACTATCCAAAAGTTTTGCCGCCATAAGAGTTTTTGATGATAGACGTATATTTTATTTTAATTCTAAGCTTCATTTTTTGGTGCTTTCTTGTGCACCGATAAAAGTTAATTCTAAGAATCTGTACAAACTATCAATGGATTCAGCATCATTTACTCCTCGTCCCGCAGGTCCACAGGACCTCACTCACTAGCTATGGAGGCAATGTCTGCAGAGAGATTCTTATTTTTTTTAATGTACTGGTCAAACAAGTGATTGGTGTTGCTTCTGCCTTTTTTTTTTTTTTTTTTTGTATCGGTTTTATGGTTTCATGTGTTTTTCTTTTATAATTTAAGTATAACTTGAGTTGTTTTTTTGTGGTTTCATATAATAAATCCTTTAAACCAATTATATTTTGATCCAGTTGTCTAGGTTTGTGACATCTGTAGGACCGTATAATATTATAATGGATTTTTAGCTAGACTTATAATTACAATCGATATTCACCAAAACATTATAACCATTTTTATTATACGAATGTCAAATCTCGATATTACAATTTTATTAGAGTAAGCACAACTGACCAACCGTTCAATCTATCACCAATATCTATATCTTACAGCTTGCCCCGTACTCACTCTTAGTACGAACAGAAATTTCCAATTACTACGAGACATTCACACATCCCAATTCTGGAAATATTCAAACTACTACACCATTTAAACTTTAAACGACACAAAACAAACAGAACAAACAAAAACCAAAAACAATATAAGAAAACAAAAGTGAAATTTATTTTATTTTTGAAAGACATTAAACAACAAATATGCGAAATAATTAATGCCAAATGAAGACATTATACTCGACCACGGCATCTAGACCAACAATCTTATAAGTCTTGGCCTGTGCATAGCCTCTAGCAAACCTGAAAGCACCGGTTCCTCCAATAATCGGCATCTCTCTCGCCTTCGAAAATATATCATTCCGTCCATACATCGCGAAGGTGCTTCCATTAAACTCTCCTGCCGTGAAAGCCAAGTTAAAGACCATTGTGAAGACTATGTCCTTCATGGCCGTCGATGCGTACATCCCCTGAGCTCTTCCTACTTCCTTTGACCTCGGGTCAGGTCCTTCGGTCAACGGATCATCAGCGATCATAATCACGCCAAAATTGACGTTGAGGGAGTTTGTTCGGCGGGCTTCGGCGACTTTGATGGCGGTAGGTTTGTCACCGGTGATGACGTCATGGAAGTAAAAGTGGAGGTGAGTGAAGCACTCTGGCTTGTAGCCTTGAAACGGCGTTGTTGTCGAGTAAGCTTCGGATTCTGTAACGGTTAAGGCAAGAAGAAGAATAGTTGAGAAGAGAGGAAGAAGAATCAGAAAACGTTTAGCCATGTTAATTAGTTGTTTGTAAAATAATACGATAATGTTGTGTATGGAAATGTGATTTATTTATACACAAAGCAAGGTCAGTACGCAAGTGTTGGATTATATAATATGTCGTTTCCAGATTGGTGACAACAACATGTCCGTTGACGAGAAAGTAAACAACTAGATATGTCCACCTGTATGAATCCTGGTAAATATTACATCGGTATTTTTTTAAGCAAGAAGAATTTGAGTGCTAGCTCTACTGTGCTTTCAATCATTCATAGACGTCTTTGGTGGGAAGAAAACTCAGATTTTATATAAAATGTGATTCTCTCGGTTAACAAAAATTGTATTTGATAGTAATATAAAATAGGTATATGATAAAGTATATATAGACAAATAAGAATAAAAACAAGATTCTGCACTGTGATACCTAACATAAAGATATATGTAGTGCGTGTACATAATTGAAAGAAAAATGTAAGACATTGTTGGCTACATTGTTGTAAGACAAAGTCAATGATACTACTGTTCTCTAATTATTGATTTTCTTTTGGGTTAATTACGGGTCAGGCACTTGTTTAAAAAATCGCTAGGCGTTAGTCGGGCGCTCGGGGTGGGCCTAGCGCCTAGCGAGAAAATCGGAGATTAAATGGGGATTAATCGGGATTAGTTTTTAATATTTTAATATTTATATATGTATATATATTAAATATGTGAATATTTTCGAAAGAATCTACGTGGTCCAGTGGCACACAGTGACTGAAAGCCTTATTCCAACACGAGTTCAAACCTCAACTACTGAGTTTTGTTCTTCTTTTTATTTTTTTGGTTTAATGAAATAGCAAGTTACATAATTGCCCTCGTCTTCTTCCTCAGATGGTAGCCGAGTGCAACCCTAATTTTCGCCGTTTTTTTTTTGTCACGATTATTATCGTTATTTCTTCTCTTTTCAAGTGTTTTTTTACCCAAACATGATAGATCTACAACCTAAAAACCGATTTAGAACTTCACTTTCATCAAAAATGAGTTTTTATAGAAATTTCCGATTTTTTGGGCGATTAGGATCAAATCGCGGCGGAGGTGCTCCGATGAGCGCCTAGGCGGACGACTAATCGGCTAGGCGGCCGATTTTTAGAACAAGGGGTCAGGCCCATTGACCATGTTTTTCTTTCACGTTTTGACAAAGTGGGGGTGAGCTTTCAAGTTTTGACAATTATGTCATTTTCAGGACGAAATTGCCCTTCCAGCAAAACCGGTGTACAGCAACAGCGAACGAATTAGTTATACGTGTTGGTTACGTACACAATATCTTGTTAGCTACAGTGGAGGCGTTTTTAATTTATTTATGTCGCGTGTACAGTGTACCAAAGCCGATTAAAAAAAATAAAATATGATGTGATAAAAGGTTTAAATGCTAAAAAAATAAAGACATGAGTAATACCAACTATAATCAATGCAAACTAATCATTACATCTTAATTTATTTCTCTTAGATCATATATACGTACACTGTTTAGATTTTGTATAGAAAAAAAAAAAAACGTCCCACAAATATCTATGAACGAATGAGATTGTGGCCATTTTGATCTTGTTGTTTAACAAAGTTTGCAGGCGAGAAAAGCAGTGAACGCGGTAAGTAATGAAGTTGTAAAAATAAAATTTAGCTATTACATACACTTGAATTTTGATTTGAAAGAAAACAAAATTGTATTGGATATTAACTTCTGGAAAAATTAATTTTCCTGTCTTGATTCTATATTTGTTTTGTTGTAAATGCTAAATGAGGAGATTCTATGTGCAGTAAGTGTGTAGTTAGAAATTCTTTTTGTAGTTGAAGCTATAAAAGTGTTCTCAGTTGCATTTAATGGGGTTCTCCTGAATTTATGATGCAGGATGTTAATGGAGATTCTAGTATTTATTATGGTTGGTGAGTGGAGATTAACAGAAGAAAAATGAAAATTTGAACCGGAGAAAGGAAGCTATGGTCGGTGTGTACGTGTTAGGGAAAACATGACGTACACGGAGTCGACACGTACATTATGTGAGGTTTTCAATTTGAAGTCCACTAAATAACATCCAATAATTAGTTACTGGATGCCGGAAAATATGTCAATGATGTTAGAACGTATACGTCCTCTATCTACATTGACAATCAAATGAGCCTGGATACATTCTCCTTGATTCGTGTTGGAGATCCTAGTGTAAACTTGTTTGTGTCTTTCCGTACAACCGTCAAGGGAGGCATGAATAGTATTTCTACGATGGATGACCATGATGGTGAAACCAACCCTGGGTTGGGGAGTGAAAACTCACCAAAAACCATGGTAGAGTATACGTACACAAGTCAACGTGTACGTACAGGAAAAACCAGTGCTATTTTCGGTGACAGTCTATATACATGATTTGCTATTAAATTTTTTGGTTCTCAAGTTCAGAAAAAAAAAAGACTTATTCTGAATCAGTGTACAAAATGTAAAAAAGAAGACTTGCAAAAGACCTATTTAACTTTGTGTGTTTGTTTTTTGTCGAAGTGTTGACAGTGTATGTTTATGTGGGTACTTTGTGTACCAAAGTTTATTGCGGTGTACGTTTATATTTGCCATCGTATAACTATGTACATTTCTGATCTTCTCCTTGTACGTATACCTGACACCACAAACGGTTACAAACAGTTACACAATTTTGTATCTCAAACGTTGCACCTTTTCGAATTAACCATTGCGTCAGTTACAAACTTTTCTTATTTAAGCCACAATTTCTTTTCACTTTATTCCACGTTCCTGCTATCGAAAACCCTTGTAAAGTCTCGGTTTATATCTATCAACCACAAACTCGCACCGGTTTTATTCCATTCGACTACATTATTGAGAATACGGTTGATAAGAATGTGTTGGTCGGCGCAATATTGTGGTTGCACTCGTTTGCTGGCGGGTTACCGGAAGAAATAATCTGAACCATGTGAGTCATGGCAATTGTTGCGTTAAATTACAAACAAATATTATCGTTTTCTAGGATGTTTAACTCCCTAAACTTAAATATATGGCTTATTTTATTTTTATTACTTTGTACGTTTAACATATCATTCTTGACTAGTGTACGTTCATAATGAATAATTTGATCATGTGTACGTACATATTTTTACGTTTTTGTTACCATTTTGTGGCTGTGTACGGTAATATTAGTGTTCTGAACTATGTACGTATACCGATGACTTGAACATCTAACGTTTAATAATTCATATGTGTTGTCTTCATAAAATTAAACTTCATTCATTCATAACATGAGTTTTGGAAAAGGAAATACAAAGCATAGATAAACCGAGAAGTAGCGTAGATTCATAAGAAATAAAGTAAAGCTTAGAGTCGAAGCATATTTATACGAGGAAAAATTGCATGCTTCATCCTTCATAACCATGTCACCTCTAGTATAAAATGTAGAGCTCTCGTGTGTACCAGTAGAAAAAACAATTTTTGCAGCAATGTCCGTCGGTGCAACGTCCAATACATCCTGGAGTGTTGACAAACCTCCATGCTCTTTGCCACAGGGGAAGGCCTTCAAGATGAAGCTGGTTGATGTGGTTAAGGACAACCCATGTGCGAAGCAAGCATACCATATTGGAATGTGAATGTACATCACCAAAAATGTCTGCCATTATAGTGTCATACATATCTTGTTGTTTGGTCGCAGAATGTAGAGGTCCTTTTTCATTATCACTACCATCAGATTTGTCTTTGTCCTGAAAAAAAGACCATAAGCATTTTAAATGTTTATGTACGTACACTAATACCAAATCTGACTATTTGTAGTACACGACAGACCTTGTCAGAAGTTATAACAACTCCTTTTGGGATTAAATCTTCGATTCGAAATCAGTATCCCCAGATTTCGGCTTCCTGAATCCCCATTCCCAAATGAAAATCGAATTCAGTGTTTAAAGATACTTACCCATACTTGTGCTCTCCGGCGGGGTACTCGGAATCTCGATTATCTTCTCCGGTGAACTATTAACTTGCCTCTCCGCTGAACTTGTCACTACATTTGAGCGGCGCCGACTCTTCATCTTCAATAGTTTTATTTTTTTTCCGGTCGTCTGTACTCCGATATCTTAGTCGCCGGAAATTAGTTAGCTTTTGCTCGTCTCGGGAAAACTGAAGAAGAATGAGAGATCTAAAGAGGATTCGATACGCAATTCACCAGAATTTTGTTGCGTTTTGCTTGTCTCCAGATAATACAAAAAGATTCAGAGATTAGATAGAAGATTGGAAATCAGTTTTTGTGTTTTGTTCATCATTTTTATGAAACTATGTTTTGTTTATCATTTTTGTGTCGAGAGTTCCACGACTTTGATTTTCTCTTGGCTGAATCCCAATTGAGTTTTATTTTCACCAACCATTTGCTCTTATTGCAATCCCTAAATCCGATGATGCCAGGATCAAAAACCCAAATTACATCTACGAACCATAAGACGGAGGATAATGAAAACTGCCGAGAACGCCATTTCGATTTCCGACCAGTTGGGGTTAATTGGTTCAAGAGAAAAAAAGAAAAACGCAATCAGAGACATAACGCCGGCAACAACATTGAAGAGAGCACCGGAAAAACACTATACAGGAGAGACGCCTTAGAGAAACCGCTACAATGATACGACGGTTTATGAGTGGTACCACTGTTTGCGCGGGTTGATTTGTTTGTATTTCAAATCCCAAACAAGAAAAAAACCAGAACATTATAGTCCAAGGAAGAAGACATATAAGACTGTAACCACCCTTCACGGATATGAATTTTGATTTTTCTATCTTCTCCAAATCTGTAACACTTTGATAAAGTAATATAGACGAGACCGGCTTCGAACTCTTCGCCGGAATTGGTTGGGAACTGTAAGATCCCTCATCGACACGTCTCTAGGTGCCTCCGCCGAATCATCCTTCCAATCGCATGAAGAGAGAAGATAATCATCCCTCATCGTTTTCTTCTATTTTTTTCCGGCGCTTCTTGAGTTTAATTTTTTTTAATTAAAAAAATAAAAACATAATAAAACTAAATGAAAGAAAC